AAGCGGGCGCTCCGGCGCGGCGAAGAGGCGCGGGTCCCACAGCAGCGGCTCCGCGCACATGTAGCCGTCGCACGCCGTCACCGCCAAGTTGTGGCGCACGTCGTCGAACGTTACGACGTTGCCGTTTGCGATGACGGGGATGCTGCCGCGCAGGTGTGCCCGCACGCGGCGGATGAGGTCGAGGTCGGCGAGGCCCGTCTGCTGCCCCTTCATGAGACGCGTGCGGCCATGCACGCAGAGCGCCGCGATGCCCGTGTCGCGCAGCATCTCCGCGTACTTGAGCGTCAGCTCGGCGTCGTCAAAGACGCGCATCTTCGCCGTCACCGGCACGCGCAGCTCCACCGCGAGGCAGTGCAGCAGACGGTGCACGAGCGCCCAGTCCTCCATGAGGAACGAGCCGTAGTGCCCGCGCCGCGCAATGCCCTGCGGGCAGCCGAGGTTCACGTCCACCGCCTCGCAGACGTCCTCCACGTGCCGCGCAGCAGCAAGGAGCGTGTCCGGGTCGTTCGCGGAGAACTGCACAAACAGCGGGTGGTCCGTCTCCGCCGATCCCGCGTCGCCACCGTCACTGCCAGTCGCCGCCACCGTCTTGCCAGTGGTGCTGAAGTACCGCTGACGGTAGTGCGCGCTCTGCGCAAAGCTCTTCGCGTGCAGCATCGGCGTGTACGCTAACGTTGCGCCGTAGCGGCGGCACAGCAGCCGGAATGGTAGTTCGCTTTGGTCAACCATTGGCCCCACAACGTACATGGGCTGTCGCTCCTGCCGCTGCTGTTGCTCTTCCTTATTGCTTGTCGAACCCCCATTTCGCTGCGCAGTGGGGGCGCAGACGATGTTGTTCCAGAAGTCCCACGGCGAGCGCGGCTTACGCGCCGGGTCGATGTGCTTCACGGTGGCATCGCGGCTGCCGTTGCAGTATGGGCATGTGACACAGCGGAACGGCTCCCCACGCTGCACAAGCTCCCTGTACTCCGCCAGCGCCGCCTCGTTGTACGCCATCACGCAGACACCTTCTAAACCTAGAAGAAGCAACACCAACAGGGTTGAGAGGAGAGAGCTGAGAGGACGCACACGCATGTAGAGATCTCAGCGGGAACACCTCATCAAAAGGGGGACACAAGACATGTCCACTCACACAGAGAGACAGACAGACAGACAGACACACGGAGACGGAGAGGGAGAGGGAGAGGGAGAGGGAGAGGAGACACACATACCAAGGCAGAAGGGAAGAGATGCTGAACCACACATGGGATGAGAGTACCGGAGAGGAGCTCAATTCGCATTACACATGGAGCCAAACACACTCTGTGGTTCGGGCTCACTGTTGCCTGTAATGTGACAGACACCCCAGAACAGAAGCATTCTGTTTGTCTGCAACACTAAATATTTAGCCCCCATCTCTTTTCTTTATTATTATTATTATTAATTTCGGACCCTCACTTTCTTTGTTTGCGTGTGGGTCTGATATTTTAAAATTTCAATTGCATCTCTCCACCCCCCTCCACCCTGCAGACATCCACCGGACCGCACTTCTCTGCATCCAACGCCGAAGAGCACAAGCGTCGCTTCGAACTGCATGAGTGCATACATGTGGGCGTGACACGCCATTAATATTCACCACACGGTCGTTCTCTTTGCAAAAAGGGCCGCAGTCGCCCAGAAACACAGACATCACTTGAGCACGCAATTAATCAGAAAAATTAGACATATTAGAATAGACACATACAATAAACAACACGTCGTTTAAGGAAGTTGTGAGAGGAATCGTAATGGCGACATATATATTACGGATATGGGCCGTGAGTGAATAAAGATGGGGCTTAATTGTCCGCATCCCCCATCCTTTACTGCCGGCTCTATCCATGCTCTCTTTATCGGCATGCACGCGTGCGTGAGCGAGCGACAAAATGGGTGAGTGACGTCGCGTGTGCTGCCATGCTTCACACGCCTTTACTCTGCGTATCGGGCTGCAAGATCTAGTGCTCATACGGCTCGTGACTCCCCTCCTCCAGGGGCTCCGCGAGGAACTCACTCACGGCGATGCTATGCTCAAACAACGACCGTCGGGTGGGATTCTGCCGCTCGTGCCGCGGCAACTCAACAAACACTTCAGCGTACTTCTCCGGCGCGTTGGGTGCCTCGTCCCCGCTCGCGCCGCTGCTGTTGTAGGAGTCCGTCCACCCACCAACGGGACTGCTGCAGGCGTTTCTATCATCGGGGTTGGAGTCTCTGCGGATCTGCCGCCGAGGTGTGCGGTGGCCCTGCGATGAGTAGCTGCAGCCGTGGCTCCTTGTGCCGCCGTCCAACAGCCCACTGTACGGGGACTGCGGCTCCGCTGCGCCACCCAGCGTCAGGTACACCCCTCTCCCGTACGCTACGCTGGAATTGGCAACCGTCGCAGTCGTCTCGCTTTCGACGCTGTTTCGGCGGCTCAAACGCCACGAGATACTACCCTGCGTGTGGTGGATCGGCGGCACGACTGTGCCATCGCATCCACTCCCCCCGCCATTACCGTCCTGCTGCTGCTGCTGTCGCCACCACCTCTGTGCGCGACGCAGCTGCATCTGGTGGATGCGCCGCTGCTCCTCTGTGAGGTGCGGGACCCGCGACTGCAGCGGCACCCCGTGCACCTCCTCCCCTTCAGCGCTGAATAACTCGGGTTTCCACTTGCAGTAGTAGCAGATGAGCAGAACGCCCGCGGCCACGACCGCCAGCAAGGCGAAGGAGCCGCACAGCACCCCAATCACAAGCTCAATGGCCACCATCCCCTTCCGAGAGAGGAGGAGGAAGGGAGGGAGGGAAAGAGAGAGAGATAAACAACGAAGAGAGCCGAAACGAGGAGGGAAGGCAGAAACGGACCTCGCCGTAACGCCTGCGGCTTCTAGGGGCGCCTGTGTCTGTGCGCGTGTGACTAGTCTGCAGTGAAATAGAGAAGATGTGAAAGAGTGAGCGCGATGAGAAGCAAAGGGACACGCAGGCACATTCATACTCGGCTGCTGCGCAAGTGTGGGGGAGGGGGCGGGAGAAAAAGATGTCGCAGAAATCGCACCACATTTCTTGTGAGGGATCGTCGTAACAGGCGAAAGTAGAGAGAGGTGGAACGAAAGAGAATAAAACGAACGCGCAACGCTCAGCAACGTCTTCATATTCAGATTAATACACCGTGGAAACACAAAACGAGACACAATAAAGAAGAGCCATACGACAGGACGTCGTAAATTAATTGAGAGAAAGGAAAGAAAAACATACCTTATGAGTTCCCCCTTCACGCGTTTACGCGGACGGGGATAGCCCCCATCTTCAGTGGTAGGGAGTAGTGTGCCTTGTAGTACTCCTGCGCCGGCCCGTAGTCATGCAGCGCGCACACCCCCGCGCTGCAGCAGGGACACCCGGCCTCGTCGCTATCATCATCATCCATTTGAACCGCCGTCTCCGTCGCTACTGTTGTCTCCATTGGCGTCTCTGCACTGCCCGTCGTGCCCTGTTGCTGGTGCTCATCACCCGCAGTATTGCCGTAGGGCAGAGTGTTGCCTTCGCCACTGCCGTTGCTGCTAGCATCATTATCATTGGTGGTAGAGGCATTCGGGTGGCACCGGCAGTTCAGTGCGACAGGGATGGAGCGGCCGTCCTTATCAAAGAAAAATACTTCGTGCGTGCTGGCAGACAGAACCAAAGAGATCCCCCTGACGTGGTTCTCCGGTAATTCCACACCCGAATAGATTCTATCCGACATTCCATAGTATATATACCGAAACACAATAATAATAACCAAAAAGAGTACTATGGCACCAATCGACACAAACGCCCCGATGGGGATACCCGTCTGTTGCATAGAGAGCCCGCTGTTGCTGCTCCTTGTGTATAGGCGCTATAGAGCTGACGCGTAGCCCGCGGTGGCCAAGTAGCGTTGTATGAGCAGAGAGACCAGAGGAAAGAGATATAAAGCAGGGCTCTGCGGCTGAGGGCGGAGCAGAGACCCAGACAGACGCACACGCACATCCATGTCGTGCACAATACAGGTTAAGTAGCAGAAACGGGAAGAGGGGAGCACCCAGGGTATAAAAATACCCCAGCGTGGCCGAGAGACAGGAACACCAATCAAGGAGACAAAGCGGCAAGAACACACACACACACACACAAACAAGCCTATATATATATATAAATATACCAGACCACTGTGCGAGAAAGAGGGTACGTTCCGTCGCACCACCCAACGTGCGTTTTCCTTTCGTTGTGTTAGGGCAGCAACACGTGCGAGAGACGCATAGATAGACCCTCTTCCCCCACACCTTTGCTGTATATATAAAAGAGACCCATATTAGCACGGGGTAGATTTCAAACACAAGAAAAAAGAGCACATAAAAAAAAGCACAGAGAAAAGAATCACAACAACAAAAAAAACAAAAGTGAATGATGTCCGCACTTACACGGGGAGAAAGACACCTCAAACCTTATCCCCACTAATATTGAAGGCAACATCAACACTTCGCCGCTTCCTCCTTCTTACCACAGCGCTCTACATCCACAGGCCCGCTGCTCACACACCTCCAACTTCCAGATCACTGTTAGTCACACCATTCAGCACTGCATCCCCCGCCTACCCTTCCTCCCCCTGCTTATCCTTTTCACTGCCTGGAATCGGCGTGCCAAAAGGTTCTCTCGGCCTTTGGATGCAGCCCGTATTATCGCCACTCACGCCGTCGTTATTTTCCGCACCACATAGATTCTCGTCCTTCGTCCGGTACCGCGCTAAGATGAGGGAGCCGAACGACGCGTGTGTAGCGACACGACCGACAGGTGTGTTGGGGTAACAGAAGCTGCCGTCGGAGCACGTCACGATGGAGCAGTTCAGGTACATGCCGCGACCGTACAGCACCGGTGACGCGATGCGTTCCGCCTCCTCACGCTGCCGTTGCAGCTCCTCCTCCGTGGGCGGCGGCGGCGCGGCCTCCGGTATCTTGTTTGGGTCGTCGATGTGCACAACTGTGTGTCCGTCCGGCAGGTAGTAGGCGTGCGGCAGGGGGCCCCGCCGCATGCGCACGCGGTTCTCTAGCGGCTGGCCCGGCAGCGTCGTCGGCTCCTGCTCCTGCGCCTGTTCCTGCTGCTGGTTGCGCCGCTGTGTGCTCCCGCTGTCGTAGTACGCACCCGCAGCCTCCTCTAGCCACAACGAGCGCGGCCCAAACTGACATTTCAGCCACCCACACATCAGCAGGAAGCCCACGGCAATGAAGCCAATGAGAATGAGGCAAGTAAGAGCGATATCTGAAAGCCCATTCGGTCGGTCCGCTGGTGGCTCACCATTACAGGACCCGGCCGGCTGCATAACCAGGCTCCCTCACAGGCCCTCCAAAACAGGTATGCGCTCCCACCACTCGCGTAGTGCTGGCACAGTGTCAAATGATCGCGCGTGATGCCACACTGCGACCCTGAGCCTTGGAACTTGGAGTGCTGAGCGACAAGACAAAGCCAACAATAAGGCGGGAAACAGGGCAGCATGCCAAACAAAAAGACAACAAAAAAAAACCCAACAAGGCGACAGCAGCCACACCACCGTGAACATACCCCCCAAAAAGGAAAAAAAAAAAGACGCAAAAACAAAATGCGAATGCTCAATCAGTCACGCATGCACTTGAACATATTCGGGCAATCCGCAAGCAACTCAACCAACACGGCCCCCCGCACACACAAAGCCTCCACGCCACACTCAGACATTAAATACTCATCAGCAGAGAGAAAGGGTCAACAGCAAGACGTCTGGAACAACAGCATCCAACGTTTGCTCAAGAAAGCATATAAAAAAACATCAACAACAATGACATCTACGCATCTCCTGAAGAGTTACGCAAAGAAAGAAAAAGATTCAAACCGAAAACGTGACACGAGAATAAAACGCCTCGACAAACAGACGAAAACTAAAAAAAAAAAAAATCAGATAAAAAACAGCACGCCGTCCCTATGCCCCTTTTGCCTCACTAGCACAAACAGCCTGTTAAAGGTGCGACTTCTCTCCTCCCAAACCGTTGAAAATGTGCTGCATCACGAGGTGCCGAAGATGCGGCATGCTCTTCACCTTCACACCCTCCTCACCGCACGGAGTGAACGAAGAACCAGCAGAAGCGCAGGTTACAAACAAGGTCTCACACGAAGGGGGCAACAGCCTTCTAGCAGCTTCATCAGCTGAGCTTGCAATATTCACATCGATCTGTCCATCTGGATATTCTGCACGCAATGCAGGAAGAAGTTCATTGTCGATATATGACTGTACACGGAACTGAAGAAACCGAGTAGCATGAGGAGGAACGCCACTAAACTCGAAGCTGAACTCGCACTCCGCGGGCACGGTGTTCACAGCGTTACCGCCCTTGATGAGGTTTGTCGACATCGTCGTGTGTGGCACCACGTAGTCCTTGTCGTGGGTGCCGCTCTTGCGGAACTCCTCTCCGAATTCACGTATCTTCACGATGATCTTCGCGGCGTAGTCAATGGCGTTGCAGCCGTGATTCGTCAGTGCGAAGGACGAGTGCACAGCTTTGCCGTACACACGAACAACGGCGATACAGATACCCTTATTAGCGGTGTACACCGTCATGCCTGTCGGCTCGCCAACAATGCAGCCGTCCGCCTTGATCTTGTTGTCGCGCAGGAACTCCGTCAGCACCTTGCCGCCGAG